CGGATAGGGAAATCAAGTGTGGGATGGCGCAGATGACTTGCCCCACACTCAGCAGTGAGTCAGGGGCGAGGGTAGCTGCCCCCACCATCAGGCTGCTCACCCCGTTCTCCCCAGTCGCCCCAGCTAATTAGATGTTGGGGAGCAGAAGAAAGAGCAGGTGCAAATACATGGCTGCGGACAGGGCAGGGGTGTTCAGGGAGGGGGCTCCAGCGGGTCACCCGGGGAGCCCCGGCCTGCTCCGTGGGGCCGAGGACAGAGACGAGGGAGGCGGCTGTGCGGGAGGTCAGGACGCCAGGCCGTGTTTTAGAATTTCTAGGAGGGGAGACCCTGGGAGGCAGTGATGGAGTCCCGCCTCGGTGCCCTTAATATGTTGTCCCCCCGCGTCCCCCTAAACCAGTTCCAGTTCCTCCCCTTCCAGGCTCAGCAAGAGTCACTTTTTTTTTTTTTTTTTTTTTGCTCTTGCTATGGTGTGGGGCTGGTGAGTTCTGTATGTCTGTCTCTCTCCATTTTCACTGCTGAAAATGCTTTTGTTAAGGGGATTTTTCAGACACACACAAAAGCATATGGTGTGGAAGGCAGGGCGGGGAAGGGCAGGGCAGGGCAGGGCAGGGCAGGGCAGGGCAGGGCAGGGCAGGCAGGGTGGGGAAGGGCAGGGCAGGCAGGGTGGGGAAGGGCAGGGCGGGGCAGGGAAGGGCGGGGCGGGGCAGGGCAAGGCAGGGCTTTCAGTGGTGGGTGGAATGCCAAGTGCAAGCGACATGCTCTAGCCACGTCGGGTCCCCTGTCCCGCAGCCCGTCTCCTCTCTGCCCGGAGGCCGCCCCGCAGTGCCTGCTGCTGCCCGCGGCTGTCTTCACGCGAGGTCGTGGGCCGCCCGCTCTGGACCTCAGCCGCTGTCCCCGTGCTCCGCGGGTGCTGTCCCGAGTGCTGGTGCTCACCTTGTTCTGTCATCCAGCAGCGCAAGGAGCAGGCAAACTACTTTCGGTAGATTTGGGATGCTTCTTTGGCTACCTCCACGTCCAACTCCAAAACGTCACCAAAATCAAAAGCGTCCAAGAGAGAAGTGTACTCACCTGAGCCACATTGTGAGGACTGTGAAAAACAGTCCAGTGGGTCCTGCCATGTGGGGAGGGTGGAATGATCTCTGTTCTGGTGTGTACCAGAGGCCTCTGCTACTTACTGATGCCATCTGCCACCGTGACTAAGAAGTTCGCTAAAGAACAACCCCCCAAAATTAAAAAAGTGTAATTTGTCATCCCACTTTAGGGCACCTGGCTTGGATACACAGACTAGTTGCTGGGAGTGGTTTTAGTGAATTGTTTTGAGTGATTTGGATCACAGAGTAGAATCTTCAAGTTTGCAGTGGATAAAAATGGGTAAGAATTCAAATGCTAGGCTAAATGGGATAAAATGCAGACAGAGCCGTCCATTTTGTTCAAGAGGATTGAAAAGATACGGTTGAAATAGTGTAAATAATTTCTATTTAAAGAGAAACTCCGAGCTCTCAGTTGTAACCTGGAAATCAGACCTGGAATTGTACATCCAATAAATGGACGTTAAACCAAAATGCCCAAATCCAGACCCACGCAACTTCACCTCTACTCCCTTCCACTCTCCCCTGCCAGCCCAACCATATGTTGAAAATAAAACAAGAGAATATATAATTTAATTTGACGTGTCCTGAGGAATGATTGCTGCCTCTGATTCTTAAACCTATGAGCCCCAGTGCTCACTATGGCAATTTTTTTGTAGCTGACACCTTTTACAACCTGGAAATAGAATTCTTGTAGAGCATAACCTCCTTACAGTAATAATACCAATAGTGATGATAATGATGCAATGTTGTTACCATAATAAAGGCAGAAATAAAGGGACAATAAATTATAATTTAACAGGTCGACTATAGGGGAAGGCAGTGATGCAGTGACAGCAGACACTGGTGTACATAGAATCAAGTTGAATGTGATATCTACAAGTGCAGACTCGAAGACTCGAAGAAGACAAGCAGTGTCGCCCTTGGCGACCCAGGGTTCTGAAACAAGAAACAGTTCTTAACGTTCTAAATGAAACAAATTACCGTCTTCCCTCAACTTAGACAATAGCTGCATTCTGGAAAACTTACAGAGTAAAATGTATTTTGTGCTCATTTAAGAGTTGAATTCTCTTACCAGGCAATTATAATCTTTCCTAATTGAAACACCTGCTAAGGTCATCAGCACTTGAATGGAAGTTCAGGACAGTTCTCGGTCACTGCAGTGTGACAACCACAAGTTCCCCTCACCTCCAAAGCCACAGACACAAGAGAGGTGCTGGGAATCCTGCGTGTGCCCCACGGAGATGAAGCACCCGTGGTTCCAGCTTAGTAAGTGGAGTGTCCAAGCCACCAAGCCAGGTGCGACACCCAAGAGAAAACATCTTCTCGCATTTTTGTTAAATCTTGATGCCCTGGGGGCAGCTTGCTGAAGAACTGAACCATTGTTTCAAAAAGTCACCTCTTGTTTAGAAAAGATCTGGAGACAGGTCCTCTTGGTTAAAGTAAGAATGATAGTGCAGTCCAACAACAGACAGCTTTGGAAAGAACAGGGTGCTTGACGACGGACGGTTTATAGAAGAGTTAAAATGGAGAACGGTAACTCCGAAAGTGAAGACTAGAAGCAGAGTATGTGGACAAGGAATAACACTCCACACCTCTGGTTTATTTAGCTTTGTCCCTGTACCGTCTTGGAACTCCAGAAAGCACTGTGTTCGGGTCCATATTTGAAATGCTTTCAATGAGTTTCTTGGTGCTTTATCTTAGCTTTAATTCACGGTGGATGCAATAATGATACACGAGGCACAGTCTGCATCTCAGTCCAACCGCTGCACACTTAGGTGACTCCCTCTCTGTACCCTTCCCACCCCAGAAGGTCCTCCCCTCTCGCTTTGGGTTTATCAGAGCCATAGATACCATCTTGGTTTTTTGTTTTGTTTCACTCTGTTTGGCTTCACCTTGGCTACCAGGAAGGTCAGAGGTACACTGAACGCTCGAGTCCCCAAGTACCGTGCGTTGACAGCTTCCTGGGAGGACATCTGCCCCTTTCACTCTGGCAGCTGATGTCTCTCTGACAGAGTGGGGAGCAGAACAGGCAGAGCGACCGAAATACACTGCTGCAGCAGGGAGCCAGGAGAGGTCTGCTGCGCCATGTGGGTAGCTCCCTGGCTGGGGATCGAACTCATGCTGCAGTGGCTGTGGACAGCTTCATAGGTTGCGTCTTAACCCCTTGCACCACCAGGAAGGCCCTTTTTATGTGTTTTAACTGTAAACTATTGTATTTACTCTTGCTAGTTATAGGGTGGGGCTATAAATTGTCAATCGAGCCGGAGGTGCTCAGTAAATATTTACTGAGTGATGGGTGCATGGCTCCAGTTACAAACTGAACCTCATTTTCCTGTAACTTGGAGTAATGGCCACTAAGGGGGTGGGGACGTGCTTCCTCTCGTCCATGAAAAGGTCATTTCCATTGAGTCTCTGGGCAGCATTCCATAGAGTGCCATTAATGTCTTCAATGAGAAGTGAATCCTGTATCCCCGAAACGCACCTGACTTAGCCATCTGAATGAATGAACATGTGAGTGAGTCCTGGTGGTATCATTTCCAGGCAGGACGACACTGGTCCTGCGCAAGGTGGGTGCTGGAGAGCAGAGAGGAGAGCACGTCGAACCACGTAAAAGAAAACTCATCTCACAGGTTGCATGATCTGAACCAAGTGCAAATTTTAAAAAATTTTATTTTAAAAACATTGAAGTAACACTGTGTCATAGCTTTACATGAGCTTCAGGAACACGTTGAGAATCAACATGCGTATACACCACATTAAGTTCACTGCTACTGGCTAGTTCTGTGCTTCAGCCCACCATTGCCCCGCCTTCTGGGATTTCTCCACCCTCCCCTTTCCCTTCTGGGAGCCACTAACTGGTCTTATATCCCAGAAGTTTATTTTTGTTTCATTTAATTCATCTATTCATTTGTTTCCTCTGTGCGCCACGTGACAGTGAAATTACATGGTGTTTGTCTTCCTCTGTCCTTATTTCACGAAGCAGAATACCCTCAAGGTTCATCCGTGTTGTTGCGAATAGTAGGAACTTCCCTTTTGACGGCTGAGTAATACTCCACTTGGGGTGTAGAGACCATCTATTCTGTATCCAGTCATTTGTTGGTGGACACTTAGGTTGTTTCTACTCCTTGGCTATTGTAAGTAGTAGTTGCAATAAACATGGAGTGCATCTAGATCTTCAAATTAGGAAAAAATCTTCATTTAAAAAAAATTGAAGGGATTCAAGTGATGGTGTTGGGAAAAGAGATGCATGTTCATCATAAAAATTAATATAGATGGAAAAAAAGAAAGCAGGAAGATTAACTATTAAGCGTAAACCTAGCAGCCAAATAAAAAATGAGAAAGTGAGAAAACAAGAGAATGAAACAAGAATAAAGATAGAAATAGATATTAATAAAACATAAACTGAGGAAAAAAGGGTAAAAGTGTCACAGAACTTTAAGAACAGATGTCTTAAAGACAAACAGTAAGATTGAAAAATAAGAGAGAAATCCTTGGCAAAACTAGTAAATAAAGCAAAAAGACAGAAAGCATACATACCGAGCGCTAGGGAAGGTACCAGGTTTCACCACAGATACAAAAGAGATTATTTTTAATTATAAGAAATTGCAGCTTTGTAGAAAGCAATCTTATAATCTCCATAAACTACTGGTTATCTAGGAAAAAATAAATTTGACTCCTGTAGGCATAAAAATCCCATTAAAAAAAGAAAAAGAAAGAAAGGAAACACTTGAGAATCAAACAAACTGGCCCAGTAGCGTGGCTGGTGGAGTGGAACTAGGAAGAAAAGCAGAAGTGGGGGGCGAGTTTAGAAGGAATGGGCTCGCCAAGCTGGTGACATGATGGCTGACTGGTGCCTCACCTCTTGGTAGCTGATTTCATGCTGATGCAGACTGCTTTCCTCTTTTCCAGGGACTAGAAGTTTCGGGGAAGAAAGATCTGCTAGTTCCTTATGTTGATCTGGAAACGGGGGACCTAGGAGGGTGGAGGCTCTGCTCCTGGTGGTGTGGTAAGTTGCCAGCCAGTCTGGGCTGGGGTCCAGAGTCCTGGCCACCTCATCATTCGCCCACCTACTAGGCAGGAAGCCTTTTGAGGGCAGGTTGAGAATTCCTTCCTGAAGACTAGAAGCCAAGAACATCCCTGTCCAGGCCTGAGTCCTTCTATTCCTCACGTAGCCCTGCAGTTTGGACAAACAGAGTATTTTAACTATACTTTACAATAGAAACCAACAAATACAGATAGCATCCCTTTGAGCAGGGCCCCTTAACCTGTAAGTTCATGAATGTGGATGGGGAGCAAAGTCACATCTTTATTTTCATGAACTTCTAACTAAAATGTAGCTTTTCCTTCCATTACACACTTGCGCATCCTACCTACCCATTGTGTGTGCAGATGTCATCACTGGTACTTTGAAACCATGGTAGTTGTTAGGTCACTGTCAGCTCTCGTGCATCAGTAAAGATGTATTACATATGAAATGTACATATTTCATTGCACTTGATTTCCTTTGTAACCCAACCAATGTATTTCGTCTTAGGCATTTAAATACGTACCCTTCAACAGACTACCAAAGATTCAGAGCAAAAGGTTGGAAACTCTGCTTGAAGAGAATGCTCCCTTAGGATTCCATTAACCTCTCGTTTGCTGGTCTGCAAGTGGCTCGTGCAGTAACCTGTGTAGGTTTCTGCTGCAACCAGAGAAAGGGGGCTTGGCCTCCAAAGCACTGAGAGGAAGTCACACGATGAAGGGCTTGATAACAAAATGGCCTCAGGGTAAGTATATTGATTTGATCTTCTACGTTTTCTGCATTTCTTCGATATACATCTTCTCAGCGTTTTATCAATTCAGCACCATCTTTCTGGGTTGGGGGAGGAACAGATCAAAGGGACTGTGTCCCCAAAGTTACTGACAGAAGAAACTGGAAGACTGTTCACAGACCCTTCAACTAGCACTAGAGAGTAGCAAGACCCGGTGCATAAGGCAGTCATGAGAACTATTAGAGACCATCAATTATTGATAAACGGAGGTGCTGGTGAAGCTCCTTCCTACCTCCCTAATTGAGCACAATCCTTTGAGTTCTGAAGTTAATTGTAAAAGTAATAGCTAACAGTTGAGAACATCATTCTCCTAATGCACTGTCATTAAAACGATGTACATTAAACACAGACCTTTCTCCCCCTCACCCCTGGAGAGGCAGAGATCAAATTAGAAACGTTTCAAGTTTGGAAGTTTAGGCTTTTAGAAATGTGAGGAGGCCAATGTAATAACATTTAAAATCTTACATTATTCCCAGGACAGAAAATGCAAAGGTCTGGGTAGAGCGTTTTCTCCTTTCTGGAGCGCTGCTGGGGGCGTGCCAGGCGGGGACATAATGCTGTTTTGTGTCGGTTCCACAGGTCCCCGCGGGCTGGACAATGATCCCTGCTGCTGACCGTGGCGCCCTCGAGGAGGAAGCTGAGCTTCTGCAAGTCCAGGACACTCTTGTTGTGATACATCGGTTCCCGCAGACTGGGGGTTTCTCACATTTAGCACAAGTCATCGGCTTGGAGTCATGCATAATTTATAATAATTTGGCAAAACCTCAGAAAAAGATAGACTTCACTGGACGTCGGAGGCTGCGGCAGCACCCAGCATTGAGGTGGCTTGAGGTTCTGGGTGGCCTGAGGCTCCAGGAGTGGGGCTGGTGCAAGGGACAGCTTCTTGGGACTCTCTTCTCCCGAGGAGTGTGACAAGGTGACAAAAGAAAAGAGCCACAATCAACACAGCCACCAAGGAAATAGCAGCAGATCCAGTCCAGAGCCTGGGGCTGCTCGGGACACTCCCCCAGGCGCGCACAGGATCAGGGACGGAGCCTTCAGTTCTCGTCTCAGAGAGAGAAAATGGCCCAAGAAGTCAATCTGAACAACCTCCAGGAACTGGAACGCGAGGCGATCCTGCAGGTGCTGTACCGAGACCAGACCGTGCAAAACGTGGAGGAGGAGAGGATACGGTAGGCTGCCCTGCAAACAGGGTGGGGGTGGCGGGGTGCTTGGGCTTGGCTTTCTCTGCTCACTGCTCCTTGCGGGTTGGGTTTACTGCTCAGCATTCTGTCTGACAGGCGCGCAAAGGTGGGCGGAGGCGCCTTTGTCAGCCAACCAACTTAGAAGCTTGTCAGGGGACCTAGAGGCTGTTTTGGTCTTTGTAAATAGAGCCTTTTGGGGGGCACATTTTCTAGCTACCTTTCCATTTGCTTAAATTGTTAGAATAGTATGAGGGAGACTTTCAAATTTCCTATATGTCCCTCGAGGGAGAGACCTCCAATTAAGGGTTTTCCTAGAGTACTGTCGGTGGAGACTGAGCGTGCAAGGAGGGCACCTGAGAAAATTAAATGTCCGGGAATTCATTCCTGTCTTTTTCTTTGCTTGTTTGGCTTCCTGGTTGGTTATAGGAAAGGGGGTGGTAAAAATCTGAACTGGCTCAGCCTGTTCCCTAATTTGACTGATATGTCAACAGGGAGCTGCTTTCAGCCCAGCTCGAAGTGCACAGCTGTCTGGTTTACCAACAGGCACTAAAGCACAGCTAAGTGGTGTACCAGCAATGTCCATTGTTTGCAGTTAGGACCCGTCTTTAAATATGGTGAAGGTTGGTTTGTCTGGAGGATGCGAGGATGTCGGTGGAATAGGCTGTGTGGTTTTGTTTTTATTTTTAATGGCAGAACTCTTGCAGAGTCTGCCAAGAAAAACACGCATATAAAATAAAACTTTGTACACCCGAATGCTGGAAGGATGAGGGAAATTTTCTGGTTAACCAAAAGGTACAATGTTCTTTTTCTAGTCTCCCTTGTTATCCCCAAACTCTCAATTAAAAAATAGGATACATGGAACAAAAGGGAATTTTCGTTGATGAAATTTCTTTGATTAAAGATCTTTTTGTGATCAGAAACATCATTCTGAGTATCAGCAAGCAGTGTGGACACGGTCAGGAGTCTTGTTCCAAAAGGCGCCGATTGCAGAATATGCCTGAAAGCGACAGAGACATCTCATAAAAGAGCGCTCTGGTTCATGATGCCTTTTGGGAATCTAGAGTAATGTTCTTTGCACCGGGGAGATGCCTCAGGGAAATAGGACCTGGGGGCCACTAACCATTCATACAAAAACCTGTAGCAAAAGCACAGCATCAGTGAAATAATTTTATCGGGTAACTTAAGACACCAGCAGGGATATATTTATAGATTTTACATGCTTTGCATATTAGAATTAATGGCATTCTGTTTTCTTCCCTCTTCACACTGTTCTTGCTTACCATTATAATTCTCTTTGGGTACAAAGGGATGAACCTAGAACAAAAAGCCAGCTAGCGCCTTTCTGCTGGGCGTATAGTTTATGCTTTGCCATTGAGTTCTTGTGACAACCCTAGAGATAAGGTTTTCTTAGCTCTGTCTCACAGCTGAGTAACCTCTTCTAAGAAGCCTCTGCCCCAGAGACCCCAGATTGCATGGCCGCTTTGGAACCTGGGGTGCTGTCACCAAAGCCCCTTTGCTCGAGCCGTGGATCTTGTGGCTGGCCGTGTGGGAGTATGTCCTTCCACCCCATCCCATCTGTCCATTTAACTCTCTGGCTGCAGGAAACTGAAGACACACCTGCAGCATCTCCGCTGGAAAGGGGTGAAGGGCGTGAGCCGGGAGTACCAAGAGAAGTCCTGTGCCCGCTGCCGCCGGGTGCTGGGGCCCCTGCTGAACCGGGGTGCCGTGTGCCAGGGCTGCAGCCACCGCGTCTGCTCCCAGTGCCGGGTGTTCCTGCATCGGACCGGCGCCTGGAAGTGCACCGTGTGCTTTGAGGACAGGTGAGGCCCGCGGGCAGGCCTGGGAGGTGGCCCCAGACAAAGCACTGATCACAGCCCAGCTTCAACCTGTAAGTGCTTAGTGTGGCCAGTGTGGAGTGACTGTTCCAGACTCAACAGCTACTCACACGTTTGTTTTCCATATTTAAAATTTTTTTTCTATATTTTTTAATTTATTGAGGTTTGTCACAGCCAAGGATGCGGCTCCACCATGGCTTCACTTGGGTTATTGGTTTGCTGTCTCAGTTTTCTTAGAGCTGTACTGATGTCCTTCAGGAAAAGTGGAGCTGGTTGTAATCCAATGAATTTTAGAGAGATCCCCGCGTGGCTTGAAAGAAAGCCTTTTTGAAGGAAGCCAGCCAACTTACTTACTCAAATAAAGAAATGGGTCTGCTTTCTGTTAGCATAAGACTGAATCTATGTTTATCTGCATCTTTGGTATCATGAGGTTTAACTTTGTTTTTAACATGGAATTATTATTTTTGAATAACCATTTTGAAAATGAGAAAGAACCTACTTGTCTCATGTTCCTGCTGTTCAAAGCAAGGACAGGCTAGTGGCGGGTTCCTTGAGGACACAGGGGCAGGCTTTGTGTAGGTGCGGGGTCACAGGGCACCACGGAAAACCCCAGGAGGGAGAAACATTTGTCCACTCTGAATCTCAGAGGGCGATCAGAAACTTTGTGATAGGAAAACAGCTTCTAAATATTGCTGCAGAGGCCCGTGCCCCTGGACACACATCAGGGAGGGGTTCACGCTCCCCCCTGCAGCTTTTTCTCCACATTAAATCCGAGGATTGGGTTTATTGGACTTCCCGACATTAAGCTCCTGAGTTCCTGTCCCTTTGCACAGCTTAATGCATTTGAATGCATAAAAGGGGAGGTTGTTCGACCAGATTTCTGTGCTGCTGAACCTCACGCCTCCCTTACGTGCCTGCCCAGCCACTGGCCTCGGCCTCGCTGCTTCCAAGCATCTCGTGTTTCTCTGGTTTGTTGAACTTTCCTGGGCTAGAGAGGGAGAGACAGGACTATGAGCCACCCTGGTCCCGCTGGTGTCAGGCAGCCCTGCGCTCTTGAGACACCAGGTAACAATCCCAAAGAATTACAGCCTTTAGATCTTCTTGCTCCACTCCAACCCACCGTACACATTTGAAGCCTAAATAAGCTGAAGAGCAAAACCTGAGGGCAGGCTGAGGCAACCTGTTGAAATCTCCACCCGGAGGGCATAGTGCCCTGCATTGTAACCTGACCCTCCACCACCCAGTGTGGTTTCTCAAACCTCAGCTTCCTCATTTTGAAATAGGGTGTTTTTCAAGATATCTACGGGTGAACCAACACAGGAAATCCTATGGGGAGAGAGCTACGTAATTTACGACCCCACTTTCCCTGATCCCTGCAGCCTGTTCTCATCCCAGGGGTGTCCACCCTTGGCTGCCAACCCATTTTAGGCCCCAAAACAAAGAAGAGACTTGTTAAAATGTCATGCTGTTTGCAGTTCCTCACTGAACTAGGAACTGGAAAAGGGTTTTGTGCTCCATCATTTTCTTCTGCCTGCTTCTTGCTCATCTTGAGACTGGAGCTTCAAGAAGTGGATCCGTTGTGGGAACAGAAGAAAGAATAGGTTTTTAAAACAGCAAAAGGGGGGTGCGATGCAGTCCATGTGTCCACCACATCCGCTTGCCCACGTCCTGCGTGGACACTTGGCTGCGCCCCCTGTGCTGTCGTGAGCGGCGCTGCTATGAGCAGGGGTGTGTTCGGCGCCCCCGGAGACCCTGCTTTCAAATCTTCTGGATAAATACCCAGAAGGGGACCCTCGACCCCAGTGTTTGTGCTGAATTTCCGAGGCGCTGCCTTAGTGTCCCCTCAGCAGCTGCACATTTCACATCCGCCAGCAGGGCAGACCCCAGCCTCTCCTCGTGCCCAGCCACCCTTGCTATTATTATTATTATTATTATTATTATTATTATTATTAGGCAGTAGCTATCTATGCTAATCAATGTTTGGTGGACGTCTGCTTGTGTTTTAAATTGAGCCACATTTTGTTCAATCAAGTCCGATTATCTGAATATCGTGCGATGCCACTTGCCCTGGCTTCTTTGGGGAGACCTTGTTCTCCATCCCCCGCCCCTTTGTTATCTTCTCCCTCAGCATTCAGTGCCTGTTGCTTTCTCTTTCATGTTCCAGGAAGGGTTTCTACTGAGTCAGCCTCACTGATGAACCTTCCAGACCCTCGGTTCTCTTACTGCTGGGGCTGCATTTGCTTGTTAATTTCCTAATGTTCCGGCCTGTCGTATCTTTGCTCCAGCCTGGCTTTTCAAGATATCTTTCTGTTTTCTTTGCTTGGAGATGGGTCTTAAATGCTTTTGGGGACTGACTGCTTCCCCTGGATCCCTGGGGTGCACACAAAGAGGAGCCCATTTGTCTGCTTCTCCTGACTCATTCTTCCATCAGAGTTCTTCGTTGTCTCGCAAGACATCCGGGCTGAGAGTCTGCTGGCCGGGAGGACGTGCCCCTGGTCTTCTGCCCTTCTCATTGCCGCGTTGCCCACCGTGAACCCTCTGTGGGCAGGGCAGGGTGAGACACAGCATCTGACTTGATTTCTATTGCCAAAGCCTTAACAAGCTGTCCTGTTGCGGTCGGATTTTTCTTACTGTCATTGACTAATTATCTGATGTAACGAACCAGCAGACTCCTGGCCAGCAGGCCACAGAATGACGCCCACAGACCTGTCTCTTTGGCCTGACAGTGTCTGGAATGCATCATTTTAATGACCTGAAATGGGGCAGGGGCTGGCAGGTCCCCTTACGCCTTCCACGCCAGCCATCTCCCACCTGCAGTTTCTGCCTGGTGCCCTCAGTGCATGGGCACTCCCTCCCCTATCCAGTTATCAGGCTGCTCCCTGAGGAGGTGGGAATATTCATTCGTTCACTGCCCTCTTCCTGGGCCCTCCATGCATGTCCATCCCATCGGGACTCGGAATGAGGGGCAGGGAATGTGACAGGAGGGGAAGCCTTCTCTCCGAGGTCGGGTCACAGGCTTGGTAATGTTTTGAAGACGTGGTGGCAAGCCTGAGAAACCATTTCCTCATTTAGATTCTGAGTCCCTCCTGGTTACCGAGAATTTAATCACAATAATCATTCTTGTCAGACGTTGAAATCAGATCACCTGCGCTAGCTGGAAAAACCTCACTACTGGCTTTGTAACTAAAATGTGTCTTAGAGACACGAAGATTTGACTTAGAGACACGAAGATTTGACTTAGAGACACGAAGATTTGAAGTAAAGAAAAATGTTTCAACTGTAGGCCTGCAAGGACTATTTCTGCAGAATCACCCTGCGGTTGGACAGGCCTCCACAAGACATTGGGCAGATCTCAGTTTTACAATATTCAGCTTCTTTGGAGTTTTTGCAGCTTGTTTGTCTGATGAACCCCCAGCCGTCTCCAGGCTTCCTGGCTGTGGGTGCTAGGTGGGGAGCTGATGGACTGGAGACAGGCTTGTGGAGGCACCTGTGAATCCCCACTCTGCAGGCCAGCGTTCTACTTGTCTGCTGAATGGTGGGCACAGGTCAAGCAACTCACGCTGGCTTCTCTGGGAGCAGAAAGCATGGATGAGACAGCCTGACCACTTACAGGTGTGATCATTTGCATGTGAAATGAAAGTCCATTCTGACAGGCCTATTTGGCTCAGTGCTTGGTGACGGTAATGAGGTCAAGCCACCTTTCTGACGTTAGGGTCTCCTGGTGATAATATTGAATGGGTGTATTGTAGAGTTTGCAACGTGCTGTTCAACAGTTATTGCTCTTTTGCTGATGAAATGACGGCATCGGCAGAATTCAAGGCTATGAACATGGACACTGGCAACTCCAGAAGTTCATTTTATGTATTTATTTGAAAGACTTTATTTTTGCGTAGAACTAGGGTGTAGGCCAGAGATGTGGGGGATGAGAAGATTCACTAGAGACAGAGTGGGGGAGCAGAACAGGCAGGTCTACTGAAATACACTGCTGAGGGGCGCAGTGGGCAAGACAGGAGAGGTCTGTTGTGCCATGTGCATCAGCTTCCTGGCTGGGGATGGAACTCAGGAAATAGTGGTGACAGCGCCGAGACTTAACCCCTAGGCCACTGGGGAGGCCCTGACTCCAGAAGTTAATTAAGAGCCGTCTCTGCTTGTGTCTCACGTTCATGGTCCCTGTGGTCCTCACGCAGGGTGAGTGGAGGAACTGAACTCAGGTCTCCTGGCTTTACCTCCCAGGTGTTCCCTCTTTGAGATGTAGTTGTCCATTGATCCAAAACGTTGGAAAGAAGCAAGTCTCGATTTTATATGAAAATGTCAAAGCACTAACCTATTGCTGAACTCAAAAGCTTTCCAAGACTCTTTCACAGGCAGTTTCTGATGTAGTCACCCAGGAGGACATACTCATAATTCTGCCTTTGTTACAGTGAACAGGCTGCCTCGTGCTGGCCCCACGAGGACAGAGGCGCTGCCGGACACAGCAAGGCAGGAGCTGCCTGGCGTTATCTGGACAGTAAGAGCCACAAACGGTCCTTCTTTTGGAACGTGGGCTTGATGGGGACAGCAGCCTTTCTTTATGCTCCTAGGGAGGAACCGCCACTGAAGTGAGTGGATCATTGCATCAGAAATGGCTGATCCTGCCAGAGATGTTTCTGGAACTCCAAATCAAATCTAGTTCTGAAATGAAACAACCCAATGCATAAAGTGCTGGCCCGCCCCTTTCTTGAGTCACAGATAAGCCCCAGAGACTGCAAGTTGGTGCCCACACCCCTCTGTGCCCATAAACTCCTGGCGGGCGCCTTAACTGGGTTGTGAAGGGTAAGGTAAAAAGTATCAGGCTTTTCTGCCCTCCCGCCATTAGGACTGATGATGGATCCCTGTGGTCCTGAATGCATGCCTGATGGCGGGCACCTGGAGGAGGGTGTGGGCATGCGTAAGTAGGTGCACCTGGTCTAAGACTGGGCTTATAAGGGCGGCTTCACGAGGACGCCAAGAGAGCAGACCAGAGCCATGAGGAGAGCAGAGAAGCTCTCTGAGAGAAGGCTGGAGAGCCCAGAAAGAGTGACGACTTGCTGGGGGCTGGGAGGCCTGCCCTGCCTGCTCTGTACCTGGTAAATCCCAATAAAAGCCTGAAAAGCCACTGAGGGCTCCAGGACTCCTCCTTCACCCACCTGCTAGGGTCATAGAGATCCTGCTCTAGGGCCGTTCTTGCCCCTTACAGCTGCTTCTGTAGACTCTGAGACCAGGCCAGAGGAGTGCTTTGTAATAGTTGGCCATGTTGATTTACGCAGGGGTTTGCACCCTCCACTCTCTCTGTCCCCCCATGTTTTTCATTCCCTGTGCCTCTGTGGTGTGCCGACTGGCTGACTCAGCAGCGGTAGAGACAGTGGAGGTGTGGTTGCTGCTGAGTTCTTAGGCCCTTGTCTACCCTGAGGCGGTCCCTGTCCCCAGCACCTGTCTCTGGACATAAATGGTCACAAGGGGAGCAGGCTGGAGAGGAGGAGGCCATTAGCCCAGCCGGTCACCAGCACCGGAAGGAACTCAGGAAGTGAGTGACGCGCCGGCAGCAGAGGGAAGCCGCTGGTTTCTGCAGCTGGCTGCTTGCTCTGATTTGCTGTCTCACTCTCTCGCATCTGGTGAGGTCTTGTCCTGCTAATGAAGACAGAAGAGGCAGCCCCAGAAATGGAACAGCTGCTAGGTGTGGCTCTTCAAAGGAGTGTGGATTCCAGGAATCTCTCCAAACTGCCCCCCGCCCCCCTTTTCTGGCCTCTGCAGGCCTTCAAGTGCAGGGTGAGGAGTGTCGAGGGGGTGAGGGTAGCGGGAGCTGCTGTTGAGATGCTGGGTTCTCCTGGAGGTGTTAGTTCAGTAGATCAGGGTCTCGAGTCTCTGGCTTCGTGGAGTCACAGTTCCCGCCATTCTTCATGTAACAGTTGAAGATTTTAGCTATTTTTGGTTTGAGTGGTAGTGACTGGGGATGGGAATTCTGTCGTCGGTGTTTACAGCTGTGCCATGTGTGTTTTCCTCATTCTTGTCCCTAACCCTGGGGCATGGTCACTTACACGCCAGGGAATGAAACAGTCTCCAGCTAGGTGAAGGGGAGAAAGTCACTGGGGCCTGAGGCCTTCTGACCACGGGAACGCCAGAGAGAAAGACAGGAAGTTTCCTTTAAAGAAAAACATGCACACTGGCATAGATTTGTGAATTTACTTATATTGACTGCATTTGGTAGCATTAACTTTAAAAACTCAACTTGAGTTCATATCTAGTCTAATGGAACCTAATAGAGAACTTCTTTGAGTAAAAACTTTAGAGAATTTGCCCATAAGTCAAAGTTTAAATTTTTCTTAAAATTCCTTGGCTTGGACCTCCGTGGTGGTCTGCAGGTTAAATCTCAGCACCGTCACTGCTAAGGCCTGAGTTCCATCCCCAGCCAGGGAGCTGACCCACATGGCATAGCAGACCTCTCCTGTCTCCCCACTGCTCCCCTCAGCAGTGTATTTCAGTAAGTCCACTTGTTCTGTTCCCCACTCTCTCTGGTGAATCCTCTCACACCTCCTCACCTCTGGCCTGTACCCCAATTCTTCTATGCAAAAAAAATACGATTAAAAAATTCCTCTGCCTTTTTGAGGTTCTTTGGGACCATGGGGATGTTCCTTCAGCAACTTGGAAACTGTCAGGAGCAAAAACACTTGAGGATTTCAGCAGCTGGCATGTGCGCACCTTCCGTCTGCTCTGTGTGCACCAAGAGAAGAGGTCCTGAGGCTCAGGGAGCCCCCACCAGGCCAGTGGGCCCAGGAGAGGCCATCCCCCTGTTTCTCAAGGGGTCCCGAATCTGCAGTGAGGCACACTGACCCCCATATTCCAGATCCCAAGTCCCCCAAGCCCTCTAGTCAGCTCTCCTCTGTGGGCCCATGGCAAATGTGCTTCATACAAACCAACCTCGACCTCACACTTGACAGCTTTGCATTGTGGCTTGTCCTTCATGCCCATGCGTCTCACTGCCGACTTGATAAAGGCATTATTTTCAGGGCAATTGTTTTTCTCTTGATGTGTTCACTCAGAAAACACCAAGTGCTGACTGCGTGTTGGCACACACGTGTGTTCATATGTGTGTATCACATGGAACATTACACAGGGTAACATACCCAAGCAGAGGCTCCCAGCTTTGTTGCCAGCTAGTCAAATCATTCAACCTCTATAAAATCTATAAATTTATAAAATGAGGGGTTGGGCCAGAGATTTGGAGGCCCTGGAGGCTGACATTTTGTGGTGTGGTCTACCTGCCTCTTGAGAGCAGATCCACCCCAGCCCTTCTCTCTCTCAGGCTTCCTCTCTGCTTGTTTTTCAGAAATGTAAAGATAAAAACCGGAGAATGGTTCTTTGAGGAACGAGCCAAGAAATTTCCAACTGAAGGTAAGTGCCATTACTTTTTTTTCTAAAGTAAAATGATATATTCCTGGACTCAAGTATTTGGTGTAGAAGCTTAAAATAGTTGGATGCAGGAACTTTTCGGGACTCAGTCTATAGACCTTGCCCCTGCCCCTCCATCCTGCTGTTCATCACTTCTGCTTGGGGTGCAACCCTGTGCACCCCGTTTCTGCTGCTGCAGTCTCCCTGTTCACCACGAAGTCTCCCTGTCTTCCTGCCCCTGGGGGTGATGCCTCCCTCCTCCAAGCAGCAGCAGCTCTCCCCTAATTGTGGAAAGGGTGTACACTGTACCCCTAGCTGGCACTTCTCTCTCCACAAGCAGCAAGTGCTTTTAAAACCTGTCAGCCCTCATAGTACCAGGCACCAGACCTTGTTCCTGATACTGGGTCAGCGTGGCTGGATGAATACCAGAGGCCAGAGAAGCAACTGCCTTAGGGTTAGCTGCGGCCTGTGGGGCTGGGCGAGTGCGTGGCGTGTCCAGGAGCCAGCAGGCGGCAGCGTGGCCTGGGCGCCAGGCATGTTGTGTGGAGTTTTTGCTGGGTTGAGGCGACGGTGTCATCCGCAGCTGGAATGCGAAACCATGGCGAGCACCCTTGTGCCCCGGGGACCACGGGCCCTGTTAGAGGATGTGAGTGGCACAGATAAGAGGGCGACTTATCAGCCCCGGGGGCACACGTGCAATCAGGGCAGCCAGCGAGTCCCGACTCACCTCTGGCTGGAGCGGTGACGTGACAGTGCCGACCGTGTGCAAGGGCCCAAGCTGACCCTGCAGGAAGGGCTGGCTCGAAACCCTTTTTCTTTTTCTGGAAAACGTGATACTTTAAGGGGGAGAAAAAAAGCTATTCAGCTGCATCCAATAGTGTATTGGCAAGGAGAGGAACTCACAGGCCAAGTGCGGACGCCCAGGATCTATCAAGGGGTGGTGGATGGAGGCCCAGTGCAGGGGCACTCAGCAGCCCCCCGGTACAGTCCTGACTCTTCTTCCTCAAGGAAAGAGCGTGTTTATGCCATTGATTGGGACTCTGGAGGGAAATGTGGAGCTCACGAGAGTGAGAAGAGGCTGCAGGCCTGTGTGACTCCGCAAGGCCTCACCTTCCTTTTCCATGATGGCCTCCCTGCTGCCCCTGCAGCCCAGACAACACTTTCCCTAAATTCCAACCCTCCTGAAAGTGTGATACCCCAATATATTGCATATCTGCTATGGCCTGTGGCCCCTCGAAGCTCACACCCCAGTGATGACCAGCTCAGCCTCCAGGCACCGGATCTCCCATTTGGTGCTACTAGCCGCCCTACCCCCAGCGAATGCAGACCCTGTGGGCACAGCCCGGGACCATTCCTAGGTGGCTGCTTCACTTGCTTCTTTAAAATACAGGTTTTGGGGACCTCCCTGGTGGTGCAAGGGATTAAGTCTCAGCACTATCAAGCTGTCGCCAGCCATTATAGCATGAGTTTGACCCTTGGCCAGGGAGCTGACCTACATGGTGCAGCAGACCTTGCCTGTCTCGCCCACTGCTCCCCTCAGCAGTGTATTTCAGTCAGTCTGCCTGTTCTGCTCCCTACTCTGTCTCTGGTGAATCCTCTCACCCCCCGCACCTCTGGCCTGCACCCCAGTTCTTGTATGCATAAATAAATAAAAATAAATCTTTACAAAAAAAAATACAGATTTTGTTGGGGGCTAGGGTCTTCTTCATGTGGTTAGTTCCCATTTTTTCACTTCAGCTCCTAGTTCATCCACAGCCTGCGGGTGTGACTTTTCTGTCATTTCTCAACACCAACTCTGCGAAGACCCTTCCTGGGGTTGATTTTATGCACCACTAGAAGTTTCAGTGTCCATATGTCAGGCAGGGAAATTTACTGGCAGACAGAACATGTGTGCACATGTGTGTGCATGTGCATGTGTGTGCCCAGGCACTGTGGGTGAGACCAGGGGTGGATGGTGCTGGGCAGGAGGTGAGTGGGGAAGCCTGCCCAGGGTCTGCGGGGAAGGCCTGCCTGGCCCGGGACCTCGCTTCTGCCTTTGCTCCTGAGGGACCTGGCACTGCCGTGGAGCTAAATTGCAGCGTGTGTTGCATCAGCAGGGCGGGGGCGCCAGTTCGGAAAGAGAGGCCACACGGTGATTTGAGCACAGAGAATGTAATTAGGGGAATTGGCTAAGTAGGTATTATTGGGTGACTGAAAAGGCAAAAAGAGAACACGGAAGGAAATCAGAGAGATTAACTGCGGGGAGCAAACAGCAGTCATGGGCCACCTCCGGGCAGGCTTATGGGGGACACAAGGGTGGGGGAAGGAGCAGCCTTCCCGGCCCCCTCTGGTACCACCTCTGCCCCCAAGTAGGCCCTAAGACCCAGCTGCAACCTTGGCTCTCTGGAGTCTTCCAGAAAATCTGTGTTTCTGCATGTTACCTGGTGTTTTTGATGTTGCGTGAGAACACCCTTTCCAGCCTGCTCTGTCCTACAGGGAGCTAGAGAAATGAGGTGGCTCTTAAAATATGAAAGGGCACAGACAAGGTCAAGTCTGCACCCCCGTTAGTTACGCTGGAAATACACCCCACCGCCTAGTGGCTTAAAACAATTATGTTACTATCTCATATGGCTTCTGCCTTCAGCCGCAGGCCTGCCAGGGCAGGGGCCATCTGCTTTAGGGGGGCTCACCACACACCTGGCCAGTTAGTGCTGCACACCTGGGCCTGCCCCTCAGGGTGAGCTGTCCTGGCCTGGGCTTCAGGAGACAAAGGCAGAGCCCTGCAGTGATGCCTTTTATACTAAAAGAGGATTTTTATTATGGTAAAAGATACATAAAAGTTGCCATTTTAACCATTTCTAGTAGTTCTAGGGCATTCATCCATTCAGAGTTGTGCAAACATCACCACCATCCATTTCCAGAACTTTCCATCATCCCCAAACCTCCCCTACCCCACCTCCCCAAAGCCTCAGGTACCCTGTACTCTACATTCTGTCTCTATCAGTATCTTTTATAATCTAGCTGCAAAAGTCACAGCTAGTCATTTCCGCTGTTGCCCTTGGTTGCACAGGGTGGCTCTGTCGGGGCGGGAGGGGGCCAGAGGAGATGGGGCTGTCAGGCGCAGGAATCTGTGGGTCCCATCAGGAGCCTGACTGCCACATCCGGAATGCTTATCTGGGGTGATTCTCACATTTGACTCCTCTCTCTTCCTCACCCCCACCCCTATCCAATCTGCCAGCAAATCCTAACACCTGTGTCTCCCCAAATCTCTCAAGTCTCCACCTTGCCCTTCGTTCTCACCTGCAAAGCAGTGGCCCCCGGCTGGTCCCCACCTACCTCCTCCCCCTGTCCCGTTCTCCATCTCCCCACCCCCACCATTCCAGCCCCCCGACCTTGTTCCAGCCTCCTTGCTGTGAAGAGGGAACATTCTTTCCTCTTTGAAAACAGTTGTCTATTTTCTGATTCTAGCACTGCTTCCTAATTGCGGCCTATTGGGGAAGCAGAGAACAGTAGACGCAAAACAATACCCCCTGCCCCACTAGTCAAAACTACAGTTAATCACACACACCCATATGCACATGTCCACACATCCACACACACGCCTCCCTGGCTTCTTCCTAAGCGATCTGTGCACATGTGTGCACATACGGACATCCACTTTTAAATGCATTTGTGATCAGATTATATATATACATACTTTTATCTTGTAAAATTCAGTGTAGTACAAACATTTCCTTGTGCTATTAAGATTTCTTTCAACACATATCACCTCCTGCGTGGAGCACCCCAGGTGCGGGTGCACTGCCACTCAGCCCGCCCCACGTCAGTGACCCCATCCCTGTGTCCAGCTCCCCATCGCAGACACCTGTGATGAATACCATGTACCTGCCAGTCCAGTATTGTTCATTTCCTTCAGGTGGTATTTCAGAAGTAGAATGACTGATCTGAACCCTTGAAGATTTACTTTGATTGGCGATTTGCTACCCCCAGCATGTGCTCCTCACCCCAGCATGTGCTCCTCACACCCCTGCATGTGCTACTCACCCCCAGCATGTGCTCCTCACCTCTCAGCATGTGCTCCTTTTCCCCTCAGTATGTGCTCCTCACCCCCAGCATGTGCTCCTCACCCTAGCAAGTGCTCCTTACCCTCAGCAAGTGCTCCTCACCCCCAGCAGGGGCGATGGCTGCTTTCTCACACACGCTGCCCTTTTCTTCCCATCCTACAGCATGATTTCAAATGACGTTGTGATTCTGTTCTGACTGTCAGCATGACATGCATTCATTGACAAAGCTACAAAGTGAGAAAAAGCCTAACAAGAAGGGTGAAAATCCAGTGATCACCCGAGAACTACTATTAACACTTTGGCACCTGTCATTTCTGTTCTTTGTGAATATGTGCCTATGCTTGTAAGTGTATATGTGTGTGTGCACATGCACATCTACAACATGTAAACACACACAACTATATATACACACATTTAGGTTAAACCAGAAGAAATTAATGTTTTAAGTAAACAAGTACTGAATAGAGGCAATTTCATGACGCAAGCTGACGGGTCTGCATAAGTGGGATTAGACTGCTTATCTAGGTTTTCAAATATCAGACTGTGTATCTAGATATTTCATCACATCATAGTTTTCAAAAGAATTTTTCTCCACATCTTTGAACATTATCAGCTACATGATCTCTGATGACTGCCTGTCTAACATTGGAACGTGACATCAATTATTTAACCAAACTCCTATTTGGTGGATACAGATGGAATGTCCAGTTTTGCTGTTACAGTTTTGGGAGTTCATAATATTATTGAAATAAATAATAAAAGTGCAATGACTATTCTTGTAGAGAAATCTTTACCACATCTTTGAATATTTCTTAAAAGAGAAGGACCAGATTTTAGAAATCTCTCCAGAAAGGATACTATCAATTTGGTGAAACCACATGAATGGTCAAAAATGATTTCTTCCTTTAATTTGCACTCATTGAATTAATAACAGGATTGAACCTTCCCACCTTTCTGGCT